CCAGTCTTGCCTTGTGACCCAGCATGGGGTCTGTCCTGGGGAATTTCCACGTGCACGTAAGAAGAAGGTGCCCTGCTGATGTTGGGTTCAGGTTCTGTCGGTGTTGGCCTCACACCTGTTGGCCTCCTGCCTCAGCCTCCTGAGTTGCTGAGATCACAGGTGTGCACCACCAACGCCCCACGTCTCTCCATTCTCCAAGTGGGCATTTATGTCTCCAACGACTGCTGCTGGACTGTCCATTGCTCTCCTTTTCTGTTTGCCTTTCACCTTCTAATTCTCTGGGGCTTTAATCTTGTTCACATGACCTCATTTTTTTGTGTGTGGGTTTTAACTTTCCCTGGTAATGGACGTAGATGCTATTCAAATTCAGAGCATCTTACTGTTGGCCTTTTACTAAAGAAACACCTTTTTCTAAAATAATTTTATTATCATTACAATTGTCATACACAAATTATACTAAACTAGGTCTGCATTTTAGGAAGTGACATCAGAGGGACTGTCCTGGGAAGGCCAGCCCCTTAGAGGATGTGTCTGTGACTGCCTGCTGCTCGGAGGCTCCTGTGCCCTCTGGCAACTCCATCCCCACTGCTGCAACGACAGTTTTCTGATTATTTCCTTATAGTTGTATTCAGTTATGTCTTTTTGGATCTTATCACTGAAGAATTGTAGTGTGATGGCTAATCTCATTGTGTCCCTTCTGACAAGCTCTAGTGGACATGGTAGCCAGACAGGACCTGGGATGGCCAGGGACTCCCTGTAGGGAGTGAGTTCACAGCCGTGGGTGCACATCATCCGTGGCCTTAACTTGGTGAATGTTCCCTGGGGACCCATTTCCAAACCCACACTGCTCACTAGTGGGTCCAGGATGGTGCCCAAAGGAGAAGCAGGTATGCAGTCTGTGGGTAGTAACCCTAACTGCCACAGGTGAAGCCTGCACACCCTCCAGCTCTGCCACGCCACTTATTGAGTGGGAACTGTATAATTTTTAAAAAACTGCAATGATCTATATTTAAAGGTGCATGAGCTGGCAGTTAGGCTGATGCATGTTTATCTCTTCACTTTTGTGGTGGCAACACTTATGACCCACTCAATCTGCAATTCTGAAAGAAACAACACGCTGTGTGAACAGGAGACGTCTTGCTGTGTGTCATGCGTGCATCACGGAAGCTCTGTTCCCAGGGACCAGCAGTGCTCCGTCCTGCCCTGTCCCCGCCCCGTCCCCGCCCCTGGAAACCCGTCCTGTGCTGCTGTGAGCACAACAGCTCAGATTCACTCGCAGGTAAGACCCAGCGGCCTGTGCCTTCCTGACACTCCACCAGCCGGGTGTCTTCCTGCTCCTCCAGTGCTGAGTGAAAGGACTCCCCCTTCCTGAGGCTGCCTGCATCCTCCTGTGCATGCACATGGCAGCTTCCTCTCCCGTCCACCTGCTGACGGGCAGTTCCTTTCCATGCCGTGCCTGATGCTGCACAGAACACGGGAGGGCCGACACCTCTGAGGTGCTGATTGTTCCTTTGGGCATATGACCTGGGGTGGGTTGCTGGATCACATGGGAGCTGTTTTTGATTTTTTGAGGGGCCCTCATCTGTTTTCTCCAGTGGCAGTGCAAGGCCCCTTCCTCCACACCCCACCAGTGTTCGCCTCTTGTCCTTCTGATGACAGCCCTCCTTGCAGGTGTGAGGTCACCTCATGTGGCTTTGATTGCCTTTCCCTGTTGATCTGGGATGGTGAGCACCTTGCCACATGCTGGACAGGCCGTGCCACTTTAGAGGTCTCATCCTGCAGAAATAACTCACACCTACCTGCAAGAGTGTTCTTGCAGCAGAAATCATAACAGGAGAAAAGCCCCTTGATATACATGTCAAACAACAGGGGGATGTTGGGAGAAATCAAGGCACTAGCATGTATCACATGCTCTGATAGGGCTCTGAGCTGCCACTGACCAATGCAGCCCATTTCTCCTAAAAGAAAACTTATGGTTATACATTGGTACATAAGACGAAAGTGTTTGGGGAAAGGGAGGGAATGTGTTCTCATTTAAAAGTAGGAAACTCTAAGCAAAATAATAGCCCCATAAATAATTCCACATCCAAATTAAGGGTTTTTTGTTAAGCAAACCAGAGTTTGCTTAACCTCTGAGCCACATCTGCAGCCCTTTTTATTTTGAGACAGGGTCTCACTAAATTGCTTAGGGCCTTGCTAACTTGCTGAGGCTGGCTTTGAATTTGTGATCCTTCTGCCTCAGCCTTCTGAGTCACTGGGATTACTGGTGTGCATCACATGTCTGGCTTTAATTAAGGGTTTTGACAGGGAGATTATCCTAGATTGCCAGGTTGGCCCAGAGGGACAGGGTGCTACAGGAGGGAGGGAGGCGGCCAGGGCTGAGGAGACAGAGCTGTGGTGGGAGAGACAGTGAGCCACAGGTTGCGGGCCCTGTGGGAGCCGGAAACCACAGAGGACAGGCTCTCCCCTACAGCCTCCTGAGGGAGGTGGCCCTGAGACACCCTGGCTTGAGCTCAGGGAGACTCCTGACCTCCAGACTGTGAGATAACAAAGGTGTGTTGTTCAAGCACACAAGGCCTGGTGAGTTGTCATAGCAGAGGACAGGTAGGTGACAGAGGTAGAGATAACAAGTGCCTGATAGAAACATCCATCATCTCAAGTAGGATAAGGAGGAGGCAAGGCAGACAGGACACATCACTCCTTGCTTATGTTGGTGTTTTTATAATTAACATTTATTACTCCCCTAAATAATAATCCCAGTTATTCTGGAGGCTCAGGCAGGAGGATTGTAGGTTCAAGACCAGCCTGGACCACCCAGTAAGACCCTGTCTCAAAATAAAAAGGGCTCGGAATGCAGCACAGTGACATAGTGCCCCTGGGTTCAGTACCACTACAGAAAAAAATAAAACATAAAACATGGCTGGCATGGTGGCACACACCTGTAATCCCAGCAGCTCCAGAGGCTGAGGCAGAAGGATGGTGCATTCAAAGCCAGCCTCAGCAACTTAGTGAGGCTTTAAGCAACCTAGTGAGACCCTGTCTCAAAATGAAAAATAAAAAGGTTGTGGCTGTGGCTAAGGGCCTGGGTCCAATCCCTGGTGTGTGTGTGTGTGTGTGTGTGTGTGTGTATAAATCAAAACATAAGTATATCCTTAAAATAAAAATATAACCAATTTTTACCAACAGTCTGAATGGCGGGAGAACTAAGGATGGAAGGGAATGGACAAGAGCCTCCTGGCACACGCAGCTCTTTCCTTTTCTCTCCTGCAATTTGGTGAAGAATATCTATAACAGTCTCTGGTTTTCAGAGAGGATCCTCAGATAAATTGGGAAGGTCTCACAAACTTCCATAGGCAATAGCTTAAAATACACTGCTCATTTTATATTAGATTCACTTGGAGCACAGCAAGAGAAGAAAGGAAGCAGAAATAAGAGGAGTAAACACTTCCCACTGGAGCGACAAGACGTGTAAGCATCGGGAAACCTGAGCTGCAAGAAGTATAGAAAGTGTGTGCGCACGCGCGTGCAATCTCCTCCATATATGCACAGGTAGATATATTTGAATTAGTTTTCCAGAGGACAGAACCAACAGCGCGGGTGCAAACGGTTCATCACCAGGAATCGGTTCGTACCATTCTGGGGACTGTGAGGTCTCACTGCCTGCCATCTGCCATCGAGAGACCCAGCAGAACCAGAGTGAAGCCAGAGGCTGCTGTTGAAGCCCTGAAGTCTGGAACAAGAACCAGGAGCCCCAGTGTGCAAGGACAGGGTGTCCCAGCCGTGGAGCAGAGAGCTGCCTTCCCTGCATCTCTTTGGTTCAGGCCCACGATGGGTCAGATGGAACCACTCACATAGTGAGGGTGGGTCTTCTTCGTTCAGTCAGATTCAGTCTCTTCCAGAAGCACTGTCACAGACACACCCAGAATCATACTTTACCGGCCATCTGGTCATCCCACAGCCCCTCAAATTGACAAAGAGTTTAATATCCTGACACTCACACGTGCGCACACACATACATTTGCCGTTCATTTGACTTTTATTATTATTAGGTTGTATTTAAAATTTCTTAGTTTGAGATACAGATTCCCAGGAAGCCACAAAACACTACAGAGATGCCTTTTGTGCCATTCTTCCAGTTTCCTCCCATGGTATACCTCGAGTAAACAGGGCCCAACTCCAAACCAGGGCATTAACATTGGCATGGTGTGCACTTATAGTTCTGGGTCTTTTTTTGGTAGGGGCAGGTAACTGGGGATTGAACTCAGGAGTACTTGACCACTGAGCCACATCCCCAGGCCTATTTTGTATTTTACTTAGAGACAGGGTCTCACTGAATTGCTCAGCGCCTCACTTTTGCTGAGGCTGGCTTTGAACTTGTGACCCTCCTGTCTCAGCCTCCCTAGCTGCTGGGATTATCGGAGTGTGCCACTACTTCTGGCTTGGTCCTTTTTCAAAGCAGTTTTATTGAGGTATAATTGATATACAAGGAACTGTAAAGGTACACATCTAGTGGTCCCCCCCTCCCATCTGAGGGGGACATGTCCCAAGACACTCAAAGGACAACTGAGAGCTGTGGTAGAGCACCTGCCCAGCACAAGCGAGGCACCACATAAAAATAAATCAAGATACTGTGTCCATCTACAACTAAAAACAAATTAAAAAAAAAAGGACACCGACACAGTGGGTAGTGCTGGCCCCACGTGCACAGCTTCCCGCTGAAGGGGCACCCCCCTCGCCCTGGCCCTCTGGGCCACCAGCGTCGCCGTCCCTCCGGGGCTACTGTAAGGCGAGGAGGACCTGAAGACAGCGTGAGAGGTGGCCCCGGGGGACTAGGGAGGACAGCACACACCGCGGGGGACACTGGACAGGGCAGGACTCCCGGCCCCGCAGGGCACGGCGAGCTCCCGCCGGCTACTCGGACGGGGCAGGGTTTAATCATCGACTTCTGGAATTTTTCATTCGACATCTTTGGCTGTGGTCGCTAGGGTAACCGAAGTCACCGCCGCAGAAGGTGACTCTGGTGCTGGCTGCAACGGGCCGCCGCTGCTCGGGGCCGTCGGTGCTCGGCCGCCCACTCGCCCCCGCGTCTGCCCGCAGTGTGCCTGGCCACCACCCTCGGGGACCTGACGGCGGGGCGGCGGCTTTGGAACTGACCCACGCGTCAGCCTCGGTAGCACCCGCACGCCGCAGCACCGCCATGGCGGTGGCGCAACGCCGCTGGGCCCCAGGTTCTTCCGCCATCGCCGCTCCCCACCGTCCCGGGCCGCCCGCGCGCGCTCAGGACCGACGCGCCTCGCGGGGCCGCGCACGCAAGCGGGGACCGCCGGGAGGAGCGCCGCGCCGTCGATGGCGGGGCCGCGCGCGGAGGCCGCCGGAGGAGCGCCGCGCCGTCGATGGCGGGGCCGCGCGCGTTGGCGGGGCCGCGCACGGCAGCGCGGCGGCCGCCATCTTCCTTCCCGGCGGCAGCGGCGGTGCAGGCGCGGGGTCAGCGGCGCGGCGGCGCCCCTCGCTCGGCCGGCGGCGGGCGTGGACCAGGCCCGGGGGCCGCCCGCCCCTTCGCCGCCCGCGCGCCCGCCGGCTGGGTGCGGAGCGCAGACACCGCCCGGAGCGCCGGACCCGCCCGAGGCCGCCCGCGCCCCCCGGGCCGCGCAGATGGGATAGGCGGCGAAGATGTTCAGCTTCGAAGGGGACTTCAAAACGAGGCCCAAGGTGTCGCTCAGCGGCGCGAGCACGAAGGTGAGGGCAGCGCCGGGCTGGGCCTGCCCAGGCGCAAGGGGGGCGCCGCTGCGGTGCCTGTGTCCCCCGCCCCGCCGCATCTCCCTGAGCCCTCGTCGTCCACCCTGAGCCCCCGTCGTCCACCCTGAGCCCCCGTCGTCCCCCTGAGCCCCCATGGTCCACCCTGAGCCCCCGTCGTCCCCCTGAGCCCCCATGGTCCACCCTGAGCCCCGTCGTCCCCTGAGCCCCTGATCCACCTGAGCCCCCGTGGTCCACCCTGAGTCTCGGGGGTCCATCCTGAGCCCCTGGGGTCCCCCTGAGACCCCGTGGTCCCCTCTGATTCCACTGTTCCTCCGCACCGCCGCGTCCACCCTGAGCCCCTGTCGTTCACCTGAGCCCCGGTGGTCCACCCTAAACCCCCCCCCCCCGTCGTCTCCCCGCACCGCCACGTGATGGTCCACCTGAGCCCCAGCGTCCACCCTGACTCCCTGTGGACCCTCTGTGTCCCGTCCCCCCCACCCCCCCCCCCCCGCATTCACCCTGGCCCGCCTCCCAGCCCCCGGCACTCCCCACCACCCTGCGGCGCAGATGACCACTCTGACCCGCCGCGTCCTCCTGCCGGCGGTGTCCACCCAGCCCGTAATGTCCGCGTGCATGATGGCCAGCGAGTCCTGGGAGTCCCGAGCCGCTGGCGTCGGGTGGCCCTGCCCCGCTGCTCCGCCCCTGCTTCGGACCCAGTCGTGTGGGCCCTGTGCTTGCGGTGCTGGTAAAGTTGGCCAAGTTTAATGGGCCGCAGTGTACATAGTGGTCTTTCCCCCCTCGGGGATAGCTTGTCGCCCTTCCAGCGGGGTTGGCTTTTAACCCCGGACCGGTTTTCAAGTCCTAGTAAGAACTGCCCCAAAAGTTGTAAGCCAGGGTGGTTTCTGAGGGCAGTGGAAGTGGACCTGGGCCCAGGTGGGCGAGAAGTGTGCTGGCACCTTTAACATTTGAGGTGTCTGGTGGTGATTGGTGGAAGTAGCTGCAGAGCTAGGTGCTGGAAATAGGTACTTCTCAGGCATAATTGAGTTGGAAGGGGCTTGTGAACTACTGACAGTTTCATACCAGAACAGGGTTCTACAGGCGGGGACTTGAGAGAACTCCAGGACAGAGTTGGCGGTGGAAAGATTGCATACTTGTTTTTGGAGCTAGTAGCACCTCCCATGTTGCCGCTGTATGCATGGACCTTGTGGCTTCTGTGGTCATGAGTGCCTGGCTTGTCCTGACACAGGCTTGGAGTTTTTTCACCAAGTAACACATCTTTACTTATCTGTTGATCAGAATCTCAAGGCAAGGTGAGATTTTGCTCCCCGCCCTCCTACCAGGAATTGAACTTGGGGGCACTGAGCCACATTCTCAGCCCTATTTTGTATTTTATTTAGAGACAGGGTCTCACTGAGTTGCTTAGCACCTCGCTTTTGCTGAGGCTGACTTTGAACTTGGTTGGGATCCTCCTGCCTCAGCCTCCGCAGTCAGGCATGCACCACCGCACCTGCACATTTTGCTTTTTAACTGTGCAAAACAGTTCCCTCCTTTTAAAAACTTGACCCTGTCAGATCCACATACCTTAATCATCTTACAGTGGTCCTCCTGCCTGTGAAATTGGAACAGGTGAGGGGCAGGTAGCAGAGTCTTCCTGGCCATGGGTCTAGCTTTGGCCCATTCCCACTGAGAGAGTCCCAGAGTTGTCCTCTCTTCAGGCATGGGTCCCCAAGGTCATTCTCCAGAGAGGGCAAATGGGGAGTGGGTGCCCTGGGCCAGTACAGGAATCTGGGTGGGAACTAGGGCTAAATTTAGCTTAAAAGTTTTTTACACCCATATGTAGATGGCTCAGTGCTCACATCAGATGAAGAACATTCTTAGGAGTCTCTTTCAGTGTTCTTCCTCCTGGGGTGACTCCTCCTCTGACCTTATTTTCCATAAATGAGCTTTCCTGTTGTTCCTAGGTAAGGTTGCATACATCCTGTCCTTTCTTTGTGCTTCTTTGACTCAGCGTCATCTCTGAGATACATCCCGATGTGCCACCCTGGTCCACTGTGTGATCATGCCACAGTCCATTCTGTTTTTCAGGGGCATTTGTTGTTGTGTGTCTTGGTGAACATCACTTATCTTGTAGGTCATGTGTCATCTGTGAGCCACCCTCAGCAGGGTGCCTGCCAGTGCTGCGGCCAGCAGCATCAGAGAGGGTCAGAGGCTCCATGTCTTTGCCAACACTTGGTTTTGTGAGTCCTTTTCATTTTGGCAAGTCTGGGAGGGCTGTGGATTCCTTGTGGCCTTACTTTTGTTCCCTGGTGGCCAGTGGATTGAGCACTGTAATGCCAGATTCGTGGGACCCCAATAGACCTCCAGGAGCCAAATCCAATGCAATCACACAAGAGTCTTTTTTTTTTCCACACAAGAGTCTCTATTGCAAGCTCGAGCCTGACTCACAACCATTTCCAAAGCAGTGGTCCCAGAGAGTGAGTCCCAACCCTTAGTTCAGTGAGGATTTATAGGTTTGGGGGGATACTCTATGCGTCACAACATCACACAGCAATCATTTCACACTACGGGGAAAATCAAACAACTCTTAACATTGATTAGCACACTCACTGGCGGGAACAAGTCGGGTAAGGGTGATTGGTTAGTTCAAGTGGTGCATACATTTGAACTGATTGGTTTAGGCCACGAGGAGTTGCAAGAGTGTGTGCGCTAAACTGCTGGGAGGCCTAATCATGTTATCAGTTACCGAAACTACTTGGAGGGTCACCTGGCATTTCAGATATTTTCCCTATCTCTCGCTGATTGGTGATTGCTAGGGGGTTGCTATGGGTCCTCACCTGGCCTGACTGAGTCAGGAACACCTGACCAGCAGATCTCTCCTGTTAAACAACTCAGCAGGGTGGGTATGTGCCTGGAAGCGCTCTGTGGGTTTCTCCAAGGACAAGGGTCACACCCCCTCCCTCTGGACAGGCCTTGAGGTAGAAGCTGGTTTCTCAAAAATGGGAGTCACATCCGTTTCACAAAACCTATAAATCCTCACTGAACTAAGGGTTGGGACTCACTCCCTGGGACCTACATGTGCGTGTTCTTCACTCTCTTTGGGTCTACAAGAGTCCTTTCCCTTATTGAATAAACAAAAATCATAGTGAGCTTTTCTTCATGTCTTAAGTGATTATTTGGAGTCTTCCCTTTCTTCAGCTTAGTGGGAAACCAGATATCACCTTTTGAATAAATATATCTTCTAAATTAAATGAGTATTTGTAGTGTTTATTAATCTATAAAGGCTCTGTAGAGGAAGTCTTGACAAGCTTATAATCTTGCTGGGAAGGTAAAATTTAAAACTTGACAAGTGAGGCTGGGGTTGTGGCGCGTGTGAGGCCTTGGGTTCCGTCCTCAGCACCACATAAAGACAAACAAATAAAATAAAGGTATGTGTCCATCTACAACTAAAAAATATTTAAAAAAAATAAAACGTGACAAGTTAAATAGCAGTAGACTGGTTACTGAGCTATGGATCTCCCGTGGGCTGACCCGGGAGTGCGAGCTGCTTGGCCCTGTCCTGCAGTGCAGAACAGGCCCTCGGAGCACTAGGTGTAGACGGCTTTTACTTCTTAATACTTCTGAAATCAGGTACATGTTGATGACATGACATATTTTAATTGGCACATTTTTTTTCTTAGTACATAGAATACCATTTTGGGGTCATTTGATTTCAACTCCACTGAACCCACTTAGTAAATCAAAATTTAAGGGAAAAAAGTCAATAAGGGGGATGATGGTAGCTCACAGAAAGTAAAGGTCAGAAACTTAACCAGAATCTGGGTTGTCAGTACCATGGTAGTTAGCATCTTTCTTGAGCTTATTCTTGCCTCTGCAGGCAGCGCTGTTTCTCCCTCACGTGATCTTGGCTGTGTGGTTACCTGATCACACGCATTGATCTCAGTTCCAGAGTCTGGAGAGGAAGCTTGCTCGGCTTGGGTTTGGTTCCATTTGGGAGCTGAGTCGGAGCAGGGCTGGAGTCTCCTGGCACAGAGCGCCTAGGTGTGTGTCAGGGCTAGGAGGGGACGCCCGAGGAGTGGTGGGTTCTTGTGGGGTGCAGCAGTGCATTGTACATGGGGGAGGGAGGCACTTGGGCAGAAATCTGGGTGGCTGTCAGCAGACCTTGGCTTAGAATGTTGAGTCCTAGGAGAACATGCATTTTAGGACAGGAGGGAAGAGTGGCCAGCAGTGCTGACTGCTGCAGGGGTGGCCGAGGCATGTACTAACCACCCCTGGGATTTGGAACTATGGAGACCTTGGTTATGAGTAGCAGGAGTTAGAGGTCAGAGTGTAGGAAGGACCCTGCAGACCATCTGGAAGTCAAGGGAGTAGACCTATTAGAAAGGGCCCAGAAGATGGAAGCCAGGGAGAGGGGGTTCAGGGTCTAAGGAGCATTTTGGGGAATGAAGAAGGATTACTCAAATAGAGAGGAGAAAGGAAGGAAAGGGGTTGTGGCTTTCAGAGACCTGGAGGAGGCAAGAGCCCCGG